GATGGATGGATGGATGGATGGATGGATGGATGGATGGATGGATGGATGGATGGAAGCTCCAGATGTTGTCTCTGGTAAAGGTCTGCAGCTCGGTGGGTTAGACCTGGGGTCTTTCTGTGTGGAGAACATGTTCTCCTGGTGTTTGTTTGGGGTTTTCCTGCCTTCAGGCTTTAGTTTGGTTTAATAAGAGYCATAAAAATAAAATGTGGGAGCACATCGTTCAGCTCAGCTCTGATTGAAACCTGCTCCAGACCACCTTTAAAGGGGGWCAGACCCAGGTCTGAAGGAGGTCTGCAGAACCTGAACAGTCAWGCAGAAACTGTTGAACAGCTGGAGTTAGCTTCAGTTCAAACAGAAACTGTTTTTTTTTTGTCCTTCAGCGGTCTGCCTCGTCTGGTTGAGCTCTTTATTATCGTACTTTACGTCGATGAAACCTTGTTCTTTGGTCCAGAGGAAGGTAAACTCTGCATCTCTGTCCTGCTCCACCTTTAAACTCAAGAGTTTCCTCATATTTAGAGTTTATGATCGTGAGATTCTATAAATCTCATTCAGTGGTGAAATGATGAGACTCTGCAGCAGGATTTCTCTTTCAGGTTTTATCTGTCGAGTCAAAGGAGCTGATTAAAGAGTTCCTCTGATTCTGCTGCATCAGCACAGCTTTCTTCTCTCATTAGACTGTTTTGTTTATAGTTTCGTCATCATTCAGAAGGTTGAATGAACTCATAAAGCACAGAAAATATGATTTCTTTGCTTCTGTTCCTTCAGTTKAAATGTGTCGTGTCCTCTCCGGCTGCCTTTAAAGAGGCGCCTGAAAGCATGTGGGGTCATTAAGCAGCTGTCAGTGGAAGCTGGATTAGCTTCTGATGGCTTTGGCTGCTGTTTTTTTCCTTTCTGGTTCAACTCTGATGAGCTCTGGCCTCTTCATGTCATTTAGTTCTACTTTCTTGGACACTTTGTCAGGATTTYAATGCATCTACAAAAGAAAAATGTCTGAATAAAGTTCAGAAAAAAAGGGGTTTCCAGGGAGAGATAAATGTTCAGTTTAATCAGATGCTGTGGATAAAAGTCCAAAGCAGGAAAGTGGTGCTGACTGCTCTTTAAATGTCCTTTTTGTCGGTTGTTTCTTTTCTGTTTTGTTTCATGTTTGCAAGAAAAGCTGATTTTAATCTTTACTTTCAATTTACTCTCATGTGTCTGTAAATGACCTTGGTGTGTTCCACTTTTTGAAAAGATGTTTTTATTGCATCTGCAGCCTGAGTCCCCTGAGAGATAGGAAAACAGTGTGTGTGTGTGTGTGTGTGTGTGTGTGTGTGTGTGTGTGT